AAAAAAAAAAAAAAAAAAAGCAGCAGCATGTGATTACAACTGAATCTTGAACAGCACGGATTTGAAATGTGTGTGGGCCTACTTACATGCAGTTTTTTCCTGATAAATACAGTGTAATACCGTACATTTACTCTCTCATGATGTCTGAATATTATTTCCTCCAGCTTACTTTACCATAAGAACACAGTACATAACACATGTACCGTACAAAATCTGTGTTAATCGACTGTTTCTGTTACCTGTAAGGCTTTGGTCAATAGTAGGCTGTTAGGAGTTAAGTTCTGAAAAGTCAAAAGCTATCCGCAGATTTTCAACTGCACATGGGGTCAGGATCCCTAACCCCACATCATTCAAGGATCAACTGTGCATAAGAAAACGCTTATATGATTTATTAAAACAAAACCTAGTAATTCACTCTGATAACTAGATTTTCATGATCTACAGAGAAAAGACCACAAGAAAAGTTTTGCGTTAAAGATATTTCTATTGTGGTGACAATATGGCTGATGGGTGACAGTTCTCCTTCCCCTACTTTGTTAGTACTGAGCTTTTTTAATGAGCATGTGTAACTTTCAAATGAAGACGTTCGAGGATAACGTGTCCTCATGCTCTCGAGCCGTCTCAGAGTCCTGCCATCTGGGGCTAAGCTCCCATCGGGAGCCAAAAAACCTGGGCTCTGGAACCTACCTCTCAGCACAGGCTTGTGGGTTAGCACCTGAGTCAGAGTATGACTGAAAAATCTCTTAGGAGAATCTGTCGAAATCATTCTGTCATATGTGTGTCCACAGAACACGCCGAACCTGCAAACACAACGTTAAGAGGCGCTCAGCAAAAGAAGGGCCCTCCAGGGTCCCGGCCGTGCCAACAGCTCATCAAAGGCTACTTCTGTCCAGCAAGGCTGCACGGACCTCGAGGCCCCCAACTCTCAGCTCAGGGGGCGCAAAGGCTCGCCCTTTCCAGAACCCTGAAACGTTCACTCTGCCAGGCCGCTGTGCCACAGACTCGAAGTGGGAGTCTGGAGAAGTGTGGGTCTAATAAGAAAGGGACCGCCCATGGAGCAGAAAAGCCAGAAAGGGATCGGAATGACCTCCGCAAGTCTGGGTCAGTGCACAGCAATCTGCAAACGTTACAAAGCCTCAGCCTCCCCATCTGTGAAATGGGAACCAGGGGCCAGCAGGGCCTTGGCCAGGCTTGTGCAGAGTGCCTGGCACACAGACATTCAGATGCAGCAACGTTTCCCGAAGCTGATGAAGCCTCATGACACGACAAGGAAGGAAGAGCAGCGGGCAAGGGACATCACTGACAGGTCAGGAGTGACAAAGGGTGATGGGGCTGCCTGACAGTGGAGCCCTGAGGGCAATTCACTGTGCCAGCGTCAGAGCTGCTGACAGCCGTAGCCAGCTTCTCGGGTGGAAGACCAGCCCCAGTCACGCAAGCAACGAGGAGACACCGAGCAGAAGGGGTGGCCTTCCCGAGGGCCAGACTGGGATGCAAACCCCCGTGTGCCAGGAAGCCTGGCCGCCCAGACCGGGGAGGGAGAGGGGTCTGCTTTTATCGTCAACACTGGCAACTAATTAAGAAACTTAAAAAGAAACAAACATATCAACCGTCATTACCTAACTCTCGGGACAGGAATCTGAGCAATCCAGTCAGGCGTGTTATAAAAGCAGAAAATGCAGAAAGCAAAGCAGTGTTGGTTGTACAGAGTTTAAGTACTGAATGACACAGCATGTCGGAGGGTCACGAGAATTACTGGAGAACAGGCAATCAGGAGCCAAACAATGAAAGAACAGAGGGTTTCCCAAGGCCTGGGAATGCTGGAAAACTCTCCTGGTTTCCCAGGAAAGAACCGACTTCCGGGCTGGCCTCATCCCACATGACTTTGAAGCAAACCCAGACACCCCAACAACCACTCCTCAACGTGAACTACCAGACAGCCACGCAGCGAGAAGGCTAACGTGGCAAATCCCGACCACGGGTGAACGTGAGGGCGGCTTCAGGGCACACCGAGGGTTTGGTGGCCAGAGGGCATGGGCAGGGAGGCACGAGGGGAGAGCCGAGGCAGTGAAAAGGTCGCTCCAGAAGTGTCCTACGCCCGCCACGACCCTCAGGGATCCGGGCTCAGACCAGGTGATGGAGGATTCCCGAAGAAAGGGGGAATCTTGAGAGGGAGCAGGTGGACCAGAGGGTTTCTAGCGCTTTCCAGCGGTCGTCCTCACCTGATGTCACAATGGCAGAGAACGTGTTCAGGAACCAGCTGTTGATCCTTCGGGACTGTTTCAAATACCCAGGACCTTTAAGGCAATAGGCACTGTCCCCTGAGCACACCCAGCAGGCCTGCTCCCAGGACTTACCAGCACTTCACCACCTTGTGCTGTGGGGACCCATCCTGCATGCCAGCGGCCAAAGCCTCGAGAGCGACTGAGGACAGATGGTGGGAACAGAAAACACATCAGCTCACCACCACAATCCATCAAAAACGACCCCCAACCAGTACTAGTGGACGAGTCAGGTAATGCATCTTTGGAGAAACCTCCTCCACTTCCAAATAACAGACCGCCGAGGCCTCCTAGGTCCCCACATGATACAAGTCCTCCCCATGCATCCCAGTGGTACCCGAGACGTAAGCCTTTTAAATCAATCAAAACACATAGACAATAAAATGCTTCCCTAATTAACCGTTACACTGGTTGTCATTTGTAGCTCTGGAGATTAAGTGCAAAGTCAGGAGAGACCGTAGAGGGTCAGTTCAGGTGAAGTACTTAAAATGCAAAGGCAGGAAACCTTGAGAATTCCTAATAAGCAAACGAACTCATGGACAGGCTGGGGCAGGAGCAGGTGACTCACAGATCAGCATTCTCTGAAGTACAACAAATGCAAGCTGTCAAAGCACAAGACAGAAGTCACCGTTAATCATATATGCGTATCACACAAGAAGACCGGTCGCTCTACAGCAAAATGAGAAAGTGCATCCTCGACAGCACCCCAACGCTGGGGAGACCCTGACAGTGACAGGGCAGACTTTCTGGAAGCATCCATCATACTCCCTGGGACCCTGGCCCGAAGCCTGCTGGCCTCCCACAGCCCCTGGCTCAGAGGGTTGGCAGAGCTCTGCTGGTGGAAAGTTCTCCCTTCCCAGTCGTATGAAAGCACAAGCTAGATTCTGGGGTCTCATGAAGGCCTTCACCCTCAAGAGCTGGATGAGGGAGTAACATTACTCACGGAGCACCTCACGAAAACAAGATTCCCCCATCAAAGCTTATACACTATAACGTGGGTCAGTCAGATATTAGCCGCTGGTCCAGAAACTTGCATTCTCATAACGAACCGATTCCCAACTCTTCATATCACTTTTCCTCCTACCTGGCCCATCTGTTCAGGCTCCACATTTCTTCTGAGATCCGAGTTTTTCTGAAATCCTCTCAAAACAAACATTTGCACAAGATCTGAAAGCCACAAAACCCAAAAACGTCAACGCACTGTGATCTTCAAATAGCTGTGGATGACACAGAGAACCCACTTTCCAGGGTCTGGAGCATGAGGACCCACAGGAGGCGTCACCCCACACACAAGCATTCACCAGCCCAACCCACAAAACCCTTCCTGAACGAGACTGTGCTCTTTGCCACTCTATTTGGAAGGGAAATTCTTATCATCCATCAAGTCTATGGGAAGGATTTTTCTCTTAAACAAAAAAGTAGCATCTGGGACATCTGGCTGGCTCAGTCAGTACAGAAGGTGACTCTTGATCTCCGGGGTTGTTGAGTCTGACCCCCACATTGGGTGTAGGGATTACTTAAAAA